ATAAATTTTTAAATAAGAATATTTCTGTTCAAATTTATTTGTTTATGAAATGGGAAAGAGATCTTGATAAAAGCTAAATAATAAATATCGCAATTGTAGTTGGTTCACATATTTTTATAATCTTGTAAATAAACATTGCTGAGGGAGTCAAAAGTGTATGCAGTAATAGTGATGTCAGTGGAAGAGTAGATAGGTTTGTGTATTGCCCGGTTCATGCTCCTTCCTTGTCTTTTGAACAGGAATAGAGATTTATCCCTTGTTTTCTGTTTAAGATTGGGTTTTCCAATTCCTTCTCCTAAAGTCTTATTCTCTTTCACTTTCAATAGCTCCTGGTATCTTAGTGGCATTATCACCTTGCTTGAGGTGAAATTAAAAATAATTAAAAAAAAAATTGTCCGTTTGATACACTGTATTTTTGTGGGCAAAAAATTTAAACATTGCCAATATTTTTATAGTTCAATTGGTTTGATAGAGTAGTGAGTTAAAGCTTTGTTGAGTGCTCCTTTATAGTGGCCTTGTGTCAGTTTTATTTCTTTTCTGTGCCAGGATATGGATGATCATGGTTTTTTATAACCTCTTGTCTTTTGTTAGTCAAAGTTACTTTTAACCCATTACTATCTTTCTTTGTCGTTGCTTAGCCATCCATTCACTTGTGTTAGACGAAGCGCAGTAAATATCTACCATTTTGGCACTGACTGATTAGATTAGTGACTACCAAACTACTCTTAGTAAATACCTAAATAAAACTGAAGTGAAATGATACTGAAATCCTTTTGATTTCACCAGCACAGGTGATTTCTATATTAATCTATAAAAGGTACTGGTCCAGAATCATTTAGAAAATAACATTCATTCAATTTTGAATAGAGACTTTAATGTGAAATGAGTTGAACTAAAATCTTTGTCTTTTTACATTTCTCTCTCAGTCTGTCCATATATTCCTTTGTTTTTCCCTCTAACTCTCTACCTATTTGTCTATCTATATTACTAACAATATTATCAGCTATAAGCACACATAAAAACATTATATTAAAGCACCAACCTTTATCAAATCCATTCTAAAAGAATCTAATAAACAGTGAGCCCCTGCCTATTTGCATTTCAGCATTCACAGCTTCACATATTCACAGAATTTTCTTCAGAACAGGTACTTGTTATTTTCAGAAACCCTGAATATTCGCGTGTTTTTCTGAAGAACATATGTACAAATTATTCACTGAGAACTTCCTCAATTCGCATATTTTTTCAATAGAACATATTTAAAATATTCTTGTATTATTTTCCTATTATTTAAGTGACTTAAAACATATAACAGTTTTTTTATGGTAAAAATTGACAGAATTATACATCTTCATTGTAAAAAAAAAAAACAAACGCAAAAACATACATAGTGCTTGGCCTTTGTTTTTTGTTAGGGGCTGTGGCTGGGGGTCATAAAAGTGGCTTATACTAAGTATGGGGGTATCATCACAATTCTATTTTTAGAAAATGTTTTAAACTTTATATTTTATGTCTTGTTATGTATAAGTGTATGGTCACCAATACTATTTTTCAAAAATGTTTTAAAATGGGTCTGAAATGTTTCTAAAATGTTTAGGATGAAAGTTTAAAACATATGGGGTCTTAACAATCAAAGTAGTTACTTATAAACACTTTTAGGTGGGGGTTACAAGTATTTGCGAATTTTAACTATTCACGGCCGGTTCTGGTCCCTAATCCCCACAAATATGGGAGACTCACTGTATATTTATCTCAGACAAATTGTAAGTACATAAAAACATTCCCAAATCAACATGCAAAAATAACCAGCAAACATGTCTACTAGAAACACACACACACACTTTTATGAATATATGTATTATCATCTGAATCCCACATAGACAAACAAGAATTATGATACACTTACATACATAAAGTAATATTTACAGTTTTTGAGTTAGGCTTTCAATCTGTTAATTTCTTGGATCTTCAAAGGGATATGTTATCTCTCCTTGAATTCAGAATGCCATAAATTATACTAATGTTTGTTTAACAAGTCGAATGCATGTGAAACCTGATGAATCAATGAAAATCAAACAACACAAAAACAAAAATAACCAGAATTCTATTGTGAGTGTATGTATGTGATTAGTAGTAGTGAAGTATTTTAGATTAATAAACATTTTCTATTTGTTCTTTACCTTATCATTCTGTTGGATTCCGATCAATATTTGATCCTAATTTACACACACACACAATGCGACCAAAATTGAATTGCTGCAATTGAAAAGAATGTGCAAGGATATTTCTTTGACATCAACTTCTATAACTAAACCCATAAAATTTCCTAATGATAAATTGTAATATGCAGAAACATTATTTCATGTAGTAAATAAACACAAAAGTTACCCATTTTTTTTTTAAATTTTAGTTCAACTTTTGGGACCAATCGTTAACACACTGGAAAAAAGAGTGCTCAATGCCATAAAAAATGGCAGAGCTTTAATATATTTTAAGTCAAATCTCAGGTGGGCAGTGTACAAACACAACAGCCAGTTTCATGTGCTTTTACACAATCATCAGGCAGTAAGTAGCTATAGTTTGTAAAATAGGAACCCTTATACCACCAGTGAGTCCATGATCGTAAGCCAGCTAAACACACCAAGGGGAGAGTAACCTATCCAGCGAAGATCAAAATATCTGAAAACCAAAAAAATAAAGTTATATATGTGTATAGAGTGATATATATCTTTATATGCATGTAGAGTGATATATATGTCTATATGTGTGCAGAGTATATATATATATATATATATATATATTTTTTTTTTTTTTTTTTTTTCAAACATATATTGTTAATTATAACAGAAAATGAATGTTTATTATGTTTTATCATGAGCCGTTTCAAGCATTGTATAATGGCTTTAGTTTCAAGAGAAAATAAAGACAAAACTGTCTAACATTTGGATATTGGTTGTTGATCTAAGCTTTCAGCTCACATTACCCATCATCAGAGTGGTCATAACAACAAATTGACAACCAATATAGATGTCGGACAGTCTTTATCTTTTTCTCTTGGAACTAAAGCCATTATAAAATGCTTGGAATGGCTCATGATAAAATATAATAGACATTCAGTGTCTGCTATATTTAACAATATATGATTGAATAATGATCTGCTGACCCTGTACACACACACTCTCTCTCTCTCTCTCTCTATATATATATATATATATATATATATATATATATATAATATATTTCAATTAAAAGGTGCAATTATAATTTATAAATTCATGAATCATTCATACAAAAACAAATATAGATGTTAATGATTTAAATGGCGAGAATTCATCATCGTAAACAATATAAATAATATACACCAACACCGATTCTATATATGAATGATATGATCCCTGTTTATAAATTCCAGTTGCATAAGGTCTTTTTAATTTTTTACAAGCTTTCGTCTGTTCCTACAGACATCATCAGGTATGGAAATAGATTTTGTTGTTATTTTTACTTCTCGGTAATAAAAATTAAAAAGACCTTATGCAACTGGAATTTATAAACAGGGATCATATCATTTATATACAGGTTCGGGGTTGGTGTATCTTATTTATATTGTTTGTGATGATGTATTTTCGCCGTTTAAATCATTAACCTCTGTATTTGTTTTTCGTATGAATGATTCATGAATATATATATATATATATTTGTGTATGTAGATATATATATATAGTGTGTGTAGAAAGATATATATATATGTGTGTGTGTGTGTAGAAACACTTGTGATGTAAAATTGTTTACATACCATTGAATTTTACTCTCCTGTATTTCTTTATGACTGTAACTTTGTTTTCCTCCGAATCGCATATATGAGTCACTTAAATACATTTATAGCATTTGATTTTTCTATGTGAACAATTGTATTTTCTTTTACATTTTTTTAGAATTCTTGAGAGCATAATGTTGTTTGAAATATAGCTTTCCAAAATTGGGGTGCTTTTAATTGTTTATGGTTTGATTCCAGAGGTTAATTTATAGACCCTAATTGGTTCAGAATAAAACAAATTTAACATTTTATCAACTTTTTTTTTAGATTTTAAATAACTGAATAAGGAAATAAATTTACATATAATTCAGCTTTTGAGTGAAAATAATAATAAAAAACACTCCTTAGAAAAAAAAAATACCGTTATATAGTTATTTTCTAAGCATAGCTTAGATGTGGCACAAGGCCGAAAGTATTAAATTCACTTTTCGAGGATCAAACTCACTTTTCAGTCGTAACTGATCTAGCAAGACAAGCTTGCTAAACATTACACCACGCCGAGGTGCGCAAACGTAGACTGTCATATATACCATATTCTTTTTTTCTGTGCTGACGGCTTATGGACATATGTTGAAACACTGGTTCTTATACGATCAGTAAGTTAAGCAATATCGAGTTTGGCTCAGTACCTAGATGGGGCACTGCTTGGGTATACCAGGCACTGTAAGCTTGGATGTACAGGTGGTGTAATAGATAATGGCTCAGAATTGGAAATCAGAGAGCCGAGTTCCAATTCAAGTTGGGTTTGTTATATTAACTTAATTGCAAATACCCTTGGGAAAGATATGAATCCACCTCTTCTCCCCAGTTGTGGATTAATTAGTAGGACTTATATCAGTAAATGAATACTATCTCCAAAATATGCTTACAATCTAAATATATTTTCCGGCTTTAAATAACCTGCAAAGGGGCTGATAAACCATAAAAAAACAAATCAGTCAATCAGTCTTGGTTCTGTTTCCCTTCAGAACATTGATCATGGTTATTTTCTAAGCATAGTTTAGATGTGTCACAAGGCTGAAAGCATGGGGTACCCAGTGAAGATTGAACTCACTACTCAGTCGTAATTGTTCTAGTGAGACAAGCTTGCTAACCATTACACCACATTGGGATGCCCAAACATGGTTGATCATGGCTAAGTTTTGTTTGCTATCTCTCCTAATTCCTGGTTTATTACCACATCATGTTAAAACACTTTTTCCCATATGATCACCAAAGCTGAGCAACACTGAGCCTGGTCAGTATTGAGAAGAGTGACCACTTGGGAATACCAGGTGCTGTAAGCTCAAGGGTGTATGTGATGTAATGGATAATAGTTCTGAATTATTAATTAGGTAGTTCCAATTCCAGTTGGGTTTGTTATATTCATTTATGCACAAATACTCTTGGGAAAGGTGTTAATCTGCCTCTTCTCCCTCCATGTATGGGTTAAATTAGTAAAACTTTTATCGCTAAAACCATTATCAAAAAAAAAAAACCCCCTAAAAAACCAACCCACCAACCATTCAAATAAGCTTGTTAGGCAATTTATTTGCTGCTTTCTTCTGTTCCTCTTGCCATCAACGTGTCCTGTATGTGTCAAATTCTCCAAGACCTGCTTTCATATTATGTTCTCTAATATATATATATATATATATATATATATATATATATATATATATATATATATATATATAAATGTAAATCTTCTCAGATAGAGTGTACCTGCAGAGTAAACAAAATGAATAAAAAAAGACAAGACAAAAATTATTCATAGCCAATGCATTTAGTCCTCTGAGGGATTTTATCAAGGCCTTGATAAAGTCTCTCAGAAGATGAAACATGTTAGCTAAGGATAGTTTCTCCTCTTGTCTTTTTATTCATATATATATATATATATATATATATATATATATATATATATATATATATATATAGGATTAATGTGAGTAAAAGTTTGTCACTTTGCTGATTGATGTTGATAGGTTCTACACAAGTTTTCACTACTGCAATCAAATATATATCGGTAATTTATTGCATAGTATTTCCAAGAATTGCATAGTTTTTCCAAGAAATCAACAGCAAAGTAGATGTACACACACACACACATATATATATATAATATTAGTGGTTAATATACACATACATATGCAATCATATATCTAAACTATATAAATATATATACATAAATACATACACATACATATATATATATATATGTATAAAAAATAATTCCAAGAGGATAGAATCCAGGTAGAACTCAATGTCCAAGAGTAAGGATATAATAAAAAGGCTTAAACACTAATATTCCATGGTCATAATTTATTCCATTGGAATCGTAAATACAATCCAATTCATAGGTCTGATGAATTGGATCGTATTTACAATTCCAATAGAATAAATTATGACCATGGAATATTATTTTAAGCTTTTTTTTATATTTATATATATATATATATATATATATATATATATATATATATATATATATTTGTGTGTATTTAGGCAGCATATTTTCATTTATACATTTCATTAAATAATATAGACAAGTGTTGTCTATTTATTTTATGTAAATTTTTTTCGTAACATCTGATAAGTTTAATAACATTATCGCTGAACGAAGAAAGAAATTCACAATATTGATCTATATTTTTTTAATATAATCTAAGCTTTCAGCTTACTTAAGCCATTATCAAAGATGTCAATTACAACATATTAAACAATATACGGACACGACAGTGATGATAGTCTGTCATTGTTTACATAGATGATCTCTAAGCAACGATAAACACACGCATATAAGACGCTAGAAGCGAAAATTGCACCGCATCTCATGATGTCACACATGACCACACGAGAGTGAATTGGAGAATGAAGTATGGAAAGCCGTTGGTATAAACCAATGGCTTCTGTTACCAATTATAGACATTTAAGAATATTTGTAGAGATGCCATAATTGATTTTATTTAGGTTGGGTTTCAACTGTTTGATGTATAATGCTTCAAGGATTTTAATTTTTGTCTATTGTTTTCATGTCGAAGTATAATTGTGTTTTCGACAAGTATTTTATGGAATTGTGTGTGCAGGCAGGCATGTTGTCTTAAATGCCTAAAAATGTTAGAGTTATCATTCAAATGTAGTGTCAAGTGTCGTGAAAGCGAGTTTGTGGTGTGACCAACATAAATATTATTTAATTCATTGGAGATACACTCTCCCAAAGGGCACTTGAATTTATAAGAAATATATACAGTAACTCATCTTTACCCCCACTTAAAATTAATCCTAATATATTAAGAAAACTACTATTAGCTTGTACTACTCAAGTCCCTTTCTTTGATCATAATAACAATATATATATACATCGTAATGGTGTCTCCATGGGTTCAGTACTGGGCCCGACATTTAGCAATTTCTACATGTCAAAAATATTAAAACTGATTCACAAAAATGCTCAATGTATTTCTTAATAGAGATCAAATAATTAGTACACAATAAGATCCAAAATTACTTCATATAGGAAATAGGCTTATTTCAACTGACAATATTTGTTGGTCTTATTTTACCTTGGTATCATGTTATAATAATCATCAGGTGGAATACCAGAAGTTCTGCCTGGTAATTGATATTACATGAAACTCTGAGTAGTGGATTTTCATATTGATATTATCATATTATCTATCTATCTATCTATATATATATATATATATATAGCATAATGAGAAGCCACGTATACTTTCTTAATATGTATATATAGAAAAAGTTGAAAATTAAAAAAAATAATAATGTACTTTTATGAAATTATTTATTTATTTGTATATATATTTGATATTTCAGATTGGCCTCAATCTTTCTTCAGAAATAACTGTTTGTGTACAAGTAGTGTCCGTCGTGAGATGCGGACGTCACATGATATGGAACGAATAATCCTAATGTAAATCTAACTGTAATAATATCTTAGATATTGTTTAAAAGAATTAAAAAAAATAAATAAAATAAGAAATAAAAAAAAATTGTAACTATATCTAAAAAATGTTTAACTATTGAAATATTTATAAAGATTTAAAATACCCAAGTCTTTATTTAACCCTAGTTTATATGTATTTGATTTTATATATATGCTGGCTGGGCACTCGTATTCAGGGATACCTGTCTACTAGGGTAGCTAGCTAATTGCTATTGCAGACACTTGCTCAGGTGTATTTTGTGTTTGTTCAACATGCACAGAGCCCACCTGTGGTTTATACTGTAATTATGCTGAGCATACCTTAGTTACCATTTCTGGGAGAGAAACGTGTTATCTAGCATGATCAACAATTTGAACAAGGCCAGCATGCACAAACCTTCGGTCATGATGACTTGTGACTTCATGCTAGCACAGCCACTGACGGCCCCTAATGTTTCTGTCTACCCAGTTTCGCTCACAAGACTTGGGTCAACCTGTAGTGTAGTTTTCAGGCACTTTCCAAAGGTGCCACACACTTTGATTGTTTCCTCTATACCAATAACATCTAGAAGTCACCTTCATGACAAATCAATCATGGTGAGATTCGAACCCAGGTCTCATGGTCAGAAAGAGAACATACTAATCACTTGGCCATGTGCCCATATATATATATATATATATATATATATATATATATACTAATGATTTCTAGTAGAAACAAAGCGCACACACACACTATATATATATATATATATATATATATATATATATATATATGGTGGCTGGCTACTCGTATTCAAGGATACCCGGCAGCTAATCCCCATAGCAGACGCCTGCTCAGGCATGTGTGTGTTTGGTCAACACCAAAAGAGCCCACCTGTGGTTTATACTGAAACTATGCTGAGCAGACCTTAGTTTCAGTTTCTGGGAGAGAGCGTTTAACAATCACAAGGCCAGCACACTCAAACCCTCGGTCGCGATGACTTGTGTCTTCGTGCTTGCATAGCCATCGACGGGTTTATCCAAGGATTCGCAAGGCTTGGTCAACCCTTGGTATGGTTTTCAGGCACTTTCCAAAAGTGCCACACGCTGTGATTGTTTCCTCCATACCAATAACATCTAGAAGTCACCTTCATGACAAATCAATCATGGTGAGATTTGAACCCGGGTCTTATGGTCAGAAAGTGAACATACTAATCACTCGGCCATGTGCCCATATATAATTTTAAATGTTATTTTTAGTGGATACCATATTTGACTATATTTCTGAGATGAGGTATTATGTACACTATTTACATTATTCGGACAATTGTCCTCATCTTTGTCGCCATATTTATTACAAATAATAATAATAAATATGACGACTAAGATGAGGACAATAGTCTGAATAATGTAAATAGTATCCATATTTGAGTAGGCACTCCTATTTTTTTTTTTTTTTTTAAGCATTTCACCCCAAGCCAGGCTAGAAGCTACTAGCATGCAAGAGGTTACATAGGATTTGGAGCAAGAGCAGATAGGAGTGATAGACATTACATTTGAATAGTTGGAGATTATAGCTATCAGGGAAACAGGAAAAGGGATGGGAGTTCCACAGGCGAGAGGTGCAAGATATGAAGCTATTGGAGTAGAAGAGACGGCTACATTTAACAGTTTCAACAGTGAAAGGGTGAGAGCGGGATGCCAGCTTCATAGGACGCTTGAATTCATGAAGTCTGGGAACCAGCGAAAGCAGCTCATCAGAGCAGTCATTTACATTTAGTATATTTGTTTACTAAAAGTTTTAAGGAAATATGTGATCATTTAGTGTTAAACTATTTATATATTCCATACATAGACTGCATCTATGTGTAGACGTGGGTGTTGTGATTCTTGTCGTCAGGAAGTAGGCGGTGTGAATTTTACGGTTGAGCTGCCATCACTTTATGAGTTGCAATGAATAAAGAAAGAAAAAAAATGAACAAAAATAGGTGAGGTATTGATTATTTCCTCTTTTTATGCAACACCCAACTCCCTACAAGTATTAAAATATTGATTTCATTCTAATAATTGTTAATGAAATTTTAATTATTGAATATTGAATAAAGTTTTTATGTGTGTGTGTTTTTATATATATATATATATATATATATATATATATATATAATTATTTATTTAAAAATATGATTCCTCTGCTACATAAGAGTTCTTATGTTTCAAAACAAGAGCTGAAAACTTCAATATAATTATTAGAATTAAATTGAATTAAAGTACCAAGCTCTGTTTCATCTTCAAGCGAAATTTTATACAGGAGCAGTCTATTTATGTTTCCAAAAATTTAACTTGAAGATGAAACGGAGCTTAGTACTTTAATTCAATTTAA